TATCTATCTATCTATCTATCTATCTATCTATCTATCTATCTATCTATCTATCTATCTATCTATCTATCTATCTATCTATTCTCTCTCATACACATCTATCTAGCAATCTTTCTATTCTCTCTCTCACATCTATCTATATCCTTTTGTCATTCCTATTTTATTGTGTTTTTTTTAATCTAGGTGGAATGTTAATACGTGTCATAAGTCCCTGAATGTTATGCCCTACGGGAAATAACTCTCTTATGTGTATTATTTATACTTAGGATTAAAAAAAGCTTTTTTCCCCCCTCCCCTGCAGTCAAAGAGAAGCTGACGGCTGATCCTGACAGTGAAATCGCCACCACAAGTTTGCGAGTGTCACTCATGTGTCCGGTAATGTCTGCTCACAATGCTCTCTTAATATCTCTCTTTTAATATTTTGTGTGTGGGGGGGGGGGAATCTGATCTGCTTAATACCAAGAAGAAACCCCATAAAACGTATTTACAGTTGGATAGTCCCCTTTTTCCATGCTCCGTATTTTTCAGAGTACAGGATGCACCAAGATTTTGAAGAGGCAAATTAAAAAAAAAAGTTTTTGCACTCTGCAGACCTCCCCAAAACAGCCCGGTTTTGTTTTTTTTTGCAAAAATGGGCCTGTTTTTTGTCAAAAATAGGGCATGCATAGCCTTTAGGAGGCTTATAGAGTGAGGGCTAGGAGGGGGGCAAAAACGAGCAAAAAACGGCCTGTTTTTTGCTCATTTTTGCCCTGCCCAGCCCAAAGGAGCACCCTGAAAGCCTCCTAAAGGCTCTGGGCGGCCATTTTTGCAAAGGGGGTGGTGTTTCAGGAGGCAAAAAAATGCAATGTATAAGACGCACCCAGAATTTCACCCACTTTTCTGATGAAAAATGGTGCGTCTGATACTCTGAAAAATACAGTATTTAGAGATTCTCATCCAGGTCCTGGTTGTCCCAAAGGTGCTTTTTTTTCAAGAATTCAACTGGACTGTTTGGTTTTTTCTTTGAAGACGTTTTGCTTCTCCTGCCAGTAGCTTCTTCAGCTCCGGATGGTGGGGAAGGGAAGGATTGATATCCTTGCAGACAGCTGGTCATTTGCATCCTTTTAGAAGGTCGTTGAGGCCACTTGGAGGTTTCTTTGTGTCTTCTTTAAATGTTTCCCTTCTCCTCCAAGAAGCTTCTTCAGCTCTGACCGGATGGTGGGGAAAGGAAGGATTGATATCCTTGCAGACAGCTGGTCATTTGCATCCTTTTAGTAGGTCGTTGAGGCCACTTGGAGATTTCTTTGTGTCTTCTTTAAATGTTTCCCTTCTCCTCCAAGAAGCTTCTTCAGCTCTGACCGGATGGTGGGGAAGGGAAGGATTTATGTTCCTTGCAGACAGCTGGTCATTTGCATCCTTTTAGAGGGTCATTGAGGCCACTTGGAGAGGTTTGTCTGTGTCCTCAGGGTCACCCGAGTGGTGCAAATGGCTGGGGAGCCTTCTTGGAACTGTTGGAAGGATTTTCTCTGTTATTTATTATTTTATTCTAAGACAGGGGTGTCAAACTTGCATCGTCCCATTGTCATTGTGTGATGTATCACAACTCCCCTTCCCCCTTCGCTAAACCCAGGGTGGACGTGGCCCGCGCATGACACATCCGGCCCGCCAGTTTGACATCCCTGGTCTAGATTTTTTTTTAAAAAAAAATTTCTTTTATTTTTAATTTAAAACAAACACAATCCTTCTTTACATGCTGTAGAAAGTGTATCAGTTGGTTACAAAAAGACTTTCGTGCAACTCTTCCACAGTCAACAAACATAATTCATATTAACTCAAGCATTTTAACTCAAATATTTAAACATGTCACCATCATCACATCTCCATTTTCATTTGACTATAATTGTTTAAGCATCTTTCATCATACTATACCAAAGTTTAATACATAACCACATACTGGCCTTTCAATTACTATTTCTAAAAACCTCCACTAACACTAAATGCTTATGTCCTATTCTAACTAAACATTCATAATATTTAATAACCAAGTTTTCTAATCCTCCTTTCCGAATCACTGTTTACAATTTATATCCAGTTTCTATATTATACCCATTTCTATANATGCATGCATACATACATACATACATACATACATACATACATACATACATACATATTCCTTGACCTACAATGACAATTGAGCCCCAAATTTCTGTTGCTAAACGACCCATGGAGTTTTGACTCATTTTACGACCTTTCTTTCCTCAGTTGTTAAGTGAATCGCTACCGTTGGTAAACGAGTAACCCGGTTGTTAAGGGAATCTGGCTTCCCCCTTGATTGTGCTCAGCAGAACGTCGCAAAAGGTGGTCCTATGACCCTGGGACGCTGCAACTGTCATAAATACGAATCAGTTGCCAAACACCTGAATTTTGAGCACGTGACCTTGGGGAGGCTGCCAAAGCTGTAACTGTGAAAAACGTTCATAAATAAGTCACATTTTTCCGTGCTGTTCTAACTTTGAACGGTCACTCAGTGAGCTGTTGTAAGCTGAGGACTGCCTGTAACCGTCGCTAAACGAGGACTGCTTGCATTGTATATACAGGCCAGAGAAAACATGGTGTACTTTTAGGAATTAGCTTCCCATCCTCAGCAATTAATCATCTACGACGGCAAGAACTAGTTGGGCATTTGTTGTCCAAGGACAAGATACATCTGAACTGTTTCCCAGGATCTGTCAGAGCTGCCTCAGCTGGGACCTTAGAAAGGAGAGACTCTCGACTCCCTTCGGTTGAAGTCAGAGGTTCTTTTACTAAGGATTATCAGTTGCAAACGAAGGAAGGTTAGGGTGAAAGTTCCCACGCAAAAGTTTACAAACTTTGCCCCTTCATCCTGGCCCTTCGTCCCCCTTAACCAATTCATTGTCGACCAAGGAACAAAACAGGTTACAGAACAGAATAGAAGAACGGAATTGGGAGAGACCTCGAGAGGTCTTCTAGTCCAACCCCCTGCTCAAGTAGGAGACCCTATCAGTTCTATACAAATGGCTAGTGGTGCAGTGGTTAGAGTGCAGTACTGCAGGCTACTTCTGCTGATCACCGGCTGCAGGTGAATCTCACCAGGCTCAAGGTTGACTCGTCCTTCCGTCCTTCCGAGGTGGGTAAAATGAGGACCCAGATTGTTGGGGGCAAGAGGCTGACTCTGCAAAACCACTTAGAGAGGGCTGTAAAAGCACTGTGAAGCGGTATATAAGTCTAAGGGCTTTTGCTATTCTGGCTCTTCTTAAAAACCTCCAGTGTTTGGAGCCTTCCCAATTTCTGGTGGGAAGCAGTTCCACGGGTTAATTGTTCACACTTTTGGGAAGTTTCTCCCCAGTTCTAAGTTGCTCCTCTCCTTGATTAGTTTCCACCCATTGCTTCTTGTCCTGCCCTCAGGTGCCTTGGAGAATAGCTTGGCTCCTTCTTCTTTGTGGCAACCCCTGAGATATTGGAACGCTGCTATCATGTCTCCCCTAGTCCTTCTTTTCATTAAATGACATTAAACGACTAAAAACGTTCAATAAAAATCATTTTTTTAAAAAAGAGAATATAATAATTTA